ACTGTCTCATACGGCGCCACAGCTCAACTTCAGTATGACGTATAAAAGTAGCGTTGAGTTCCAGATGCAAATTAAAATATTTGCCGTCGCGGTTTCGGCTCGCAGACGACGGAAATTTTGGCGATTTCACATCGTTGTTTTGCATAGGACGGCTAAGAAATGTACAAAGTTTCAAAATGCACTTGCTGAGCTATTGTTCTGCCAATTAGATCTCTTGTTTCTCCACGTCCTCGTTGCCGTCGCCGTCGTGGTTGCTTAAGGTCCCTAGTATTAGAGACCTTAAGCAGTCAGGACGGCAACGCCAAGGAAGACTTTAAATAATTAAATAATTAATCTTTTAATTAAATAATTAAATAATTAATTTCTGCCTCTGATTAGAATTTCAAAAATGACTGCGTGTGTTTACCGTCTCGTACGGCGCCAGACCTCAACTTCAGCATAACGTATAAAAGAAGTGGTGAATTCCAAATGGAAATTAAAATAAGGTCCCTAGTATTAGAGACCTTAAGCAGTCAGGACGGCAACGCCAAGGAAGACTTCGATTAAATAATTAATTTCTGCCTCTGATTAGAATTTCAAAAATGGCTGCGTGTGTTTACCGTCTCGTACGGCGCCAGACCTCAACTTCAGCATAACGTATAAAAGAAGTGGTGAATTCCAAATGGAAATTAAAATAAATGCTGTCGCGGTTTCCTTTCGCAGACGACGCAAATTTTGGTGATTTCACGATGTTGTTTCGCATAAGACGGCTAAGAAATGTACAAAGTTTTAAAACGCACGTTCTGAATTATTGTTCTGTCATTAGTTCTCGTTTTTCTACGTCCTCGTTGCCGTGGCCGTCGTGGTTTGGTTAAGGTCCCTAATATTCAAGTCAAGGAATGCATGCCTTTTTGAAACAGACAAGCCAAACAAGACCATCAAGCGAAAGAAGACAGCACAGAACAAAACAAACAAGCAAAAGTCACAGAACATGATAACTTCACCAGAGTTTGATCATGTTCTTCCCTATTCAATCAAATAAGACTCCGCCTACTTCTTCTGCCAATCAGTTGTGCTACGCAGAACTTCTTGGATGAAACTGGCTCATCCAGACAGTCTACAGTACTATTGCTTGGGTTTGGAATTATTCGAGAGTTTAAGAAACTGCCACTGGCCTAATTAATGCGCTTTGAATTTGGTACTCCGTGTCAGCAGGAGCTTTTTTGCTGTTTATATTAGTTACTAATTGGTGTGAACTTACTGGAGGTCAAAGCTAATTCTTGTTTTCACCAAAATACTAGATATCTGAAAGAGACTTTTTATTAGCCAATCTGTTTAACAAAAACTCTTTAACCATAATGCCAGTTAACCAACATGAGCACAAGTTATAATTTTCAAATAGGGAATACATTTATCGACAATGTCCCAGATTGCCTCTTGTCTCAGATTTACCCTCAACATTCCCCATTCATGTCTGTCGATTTTGAACCGGCCCTCCTTTGTTTCTCTTTAAAAAAATCAGAGATTTCAGACTAATCCTAATGGCTGTCCACAAAGCATTTTTGTGACTTTTAAAGACGTTTATCTAAAGATAGAGCGCCGTTTGTTTCTTTTTTGAAGGTAAAAAATAAATTTTTGTGGAATGCTAAAAATAACCTCTGTCAAAGTGACATCGTTGAAGCAAATTTCAGTATACTTTCTAAACGTGAACACCCATTGCGGCTGAAAAGTAAACACAAATCTTAAATTATATGATAAAAGCTTTTGTTAAGGGAATCACCAAAGTCAAATATCATTGTTGCTGTGAGTTGATGCAAGCTTTGGGGAGTAATGTTGGCCCAATTTTTGTGGATGCTGTTAGAACACCATCCTTTATGCCATCGCATGTGTTAGGTAACAAAAGAAACTTCGGGAGCCAATATGATCATGAGAATTGCAGTCGATTTTACGTCAATAACGTTTTGATGGACCTCGAGTAGTTCTGGATAGTCCGTCTTTTCCACAACTTTGGACCGGTCACAATGACCGCCAACCACTATGATACGGATATGTCCGATGTTCCAAATATGGTTGGCGATAAATGTGTGCAAACGCTCCGAAATTTTTCGGCTGCTGTACCAATGGCGCCCGAAATGACAAGTAAGGCACGTTTATTGTTGACGAGCAGAACAAGCGGGTAGCGGGTGTACGAAGTATTAACGAAATTTGGTAAGTAGAAATGTTTTCTCTCTATTTTACCCACTCAATCAGGTGCAGCTTTCGAGGAATACGTAACTCGTATGTTTGTAAAGAACTGTTCGACACTTTCCGCACCATTCGAGATGTTTTTGAAAGAGATTTAGTGAATGGACAGACCTGTTTGTTTGACAACAGTTATCGAGCAACGAATTCGAACATTGTCAAAACTTTGGCGATCCACTATTCTTTTAGTTTGAGCACAATTGATTTTCATTCATCGTTTTTGTTTAGAAGTAATCGTGGACGATGTGCTGGACATTATATCTGTCAAAAGGTTAGCCGCGTTTCCGTAGAAAAGCGCTTAACAGGAGTTGTCTGCACTAGCTCCGATTTGAGGATCGTCCCGATCTTTTGGGACGCAAAGAAACTCCTCTGTGAGACAATGAACCTCCTTCGGGAGACAATGAACCTCCTTTGGGAGACAATGAACCTCCTTTGGGAGACAAGCGTGTGAGAAC